TTCCTTAGTAGGTCAGTTTCCAAAGTAAGAAAAGCATTTCATTACAAGGTGCCCTTGCTATAAACCGGGTCAGCAGCACAGATCTTCACCCTAGTGCTACATGTTTCCATCTTGTACTTGTTTGCTTTTGGTAATGAGGTTTCCAGTGACTTGATTTTACGATGATCTTAAAAAGAAACTACATGGACAAACCAGCTTACAAATAATAAAATGCATGAAAATAGGCCTCTGTAAAGAACATACCTGAGAGTGCATTCGGATTGTTCACAGTAAAATGAACAGGAAAGAAATGCAGGTGGTAAGGGCAGAGACCTATTCATCTGCTATGTTGCCCCAAGCCTACACCCATGGTTGTGGCAATGGAACGCGGAGATGAACGTGGCTCTGTTCCCCAGCCATGTGGGCCTCAGGCATGCTGCTGACAACTGCCTGGATTTTCACTGTCTCTTTAATTGTGTTTCTAGGACAGAGATACTTCAAAGCCCAGCTGTGGCAAACCAACAGATGTTTTTCATTTTGATTTTAAACCAGTACATATGGAAACAATTGAAAACCTAAGCCCCCCAAGACCTATTAGGTAAAACGAAGCATTCTTCTTCTTACTTTTCACCGTGAGGTACATGGACTTGCTGACGTCTGCGCCCACATCGTTGCTGACCTTGCAGAGGTAGTAGCCGCTGGCTTCTTCCACAACGTGCTTGATCAGCAACGACCCATTGCTGAGAACCTGGATCCGGCCATTCAAGGCTATTGGCTGGAACTGGGGAACCCCAGCACCTGGGACAGAATTAGAAAGAGGAACAAGAGGCAGTTGTAAACACATATGGAAACAATAAACCCAAGTTCACCCTGACTAATAGAAAGAAGTGAAAGACATTTAACATAAGTCACTCAGGGAAGTCCTGAGATATATCCAGTTTGTCTTTCTTCCCTTTACCTTTGCAATTCTTGTTTAGAGAAAGACATGTTTATTTAAAATGACAGTAATTCAAATTCTGAGATAAAAAGTGAGAGAGCTTACAGATACTTTCCATATAAAAAGCCAAATTTGATGAGTGTTAAGTAGCCGATAAATTATTCAAAGAAATCACAGTAGAACAACCACAGAAGTAGACATCTCTCATGGTACTAAATAGATTCCTTCTGTTCCCAGGGACTTAATATGAATGTAAACAAGGGAGTGCTCCAGGGACATGGCATTTGAAGTCTTTGCTCACTGCAAATGTCTGAGCTACAAAGAGAATACCAGGATTGCAGATTTCTCTACTAAGTGTTGGTATACTCCAGTCTAAAATGCAATACACTCTTAATGCCATTTAAGGTTATTTAAATAAATAAGTCAGGTCATTTTACTAAGGCACACTACAGTAAAACACTAGTTTCCTTAAAGGACTTATGTGCAATGAGAGAATGGCATAGATGTGATAGGCCATCTTTGTAGATGTGATTTGATTTATATGGGGACTTCATACAAAATTAGGTTTATAAAAAAGAATTTCAGAAATAAAACAGAAATAAACAGAGAAATAAGGTCATGGACACTTTCTGGGGATACAGTGGTATAAATTAAGCCAGGTGCTGCCTGTCCCTCTCCTTTCCTGGGTTATTGGGTGGGACTAGGAGAATGTGATCCAGATCTTAGAAGACTCTGCTAGTCTTCTCTCTCCTCTGCTCTGAGAGTCTGAGGATTGGGGTGGGAGGAAGCACAAAGGTGAGGACCAGTCAGATCTTCCTGGAAGAACTCAAACTGTGGGTCAAAGACTATTAAAATAGGAAGAATTGTTAGCCCTAGAACCTCCATGGGAGCTATACAGGTCAGCCGTCTACACTCTACTCCAGGAGGAAACATCTGACTTTGCATCTGAGGATGTGGAGGGAGTAATGCTTCCTCCCACTGTCTTGACATTGAACCAACAGTTTGCCTGTTGGTGCCCCTGGAGCTGACAGTGGCAGAGGGAGTGACTGGACCTTCCCTTCTCTTGTTTCTGTTCCAGGTACCTCAGCAGTTAGACACACCAAAGAGACAAAAGAAATTAATAACATGACTGAGGGAATCTCTCACGCTGGAATAAAACAAGCAAAGTCACTATAACAGATTTGTGTCAGAATAGAGCTCCTAGAGAGGACATATGACAACGTGAGTTTAAAAAGTTCACTTCTGCTGAGTACGCAAAAGCTATCAGAGTGTCATTACATAACACACAAACAAACAAATAGTCGACAGCATCATTCTTTTTTCTTCAGAAAGTTGAAGTTACAGGTGATTTCAGCGAATGTGGTGGCCATTTGTACTTGTCCTCTGCTAAATAGCCCGCTCCTGTCACTTGCCTATTTTTCTACAAAGCTTGTTGCTTTCTTTCTTTTTCATTTCTTAAAATATTTTGGGTTCCAAAAAAGTACTTCCATATTCTTATTTTATAAACCTTTACTTTTGGGGGGAGTTCTTTTTCACTCAGAATTACTGAATGTTAAATATTTTCAGCTACCTTTTCATCTTCTATTAAAATGATCATATTTTTTCTCTTATAAAAGTAGATTATATTTTTAAAGAATATTATTTCAAAAATTATGAATTACTTCTTATGGAGAATGCATTCTTTAGGATAAAGGACTTTTCTGGAAGTTTTTTTTAAAGAGATTTTTGCCATAGGGCATGTGCGTGCACTAGAGAGAGAGAGAGAGACAGACAGAGACAGTGAAAGGGAATGTGAGAAATCAACCCCCACGGGGGACGGTCACACCACAATCCCTTCTCCATTCTTCTCCCAGGATCTTGGGCATGCACACACATGTGCCCATCACAATTTTCAGGCTACCGGGTCCGAAACTCAACCTGTGGTTGGCCATGTGGAAGTCCACAGTGTAGCCATTGTGCCATCTGCTGGCCCCTTGCTGGAACTTAAATATTAAAGAAAAAACTTTAATTTGTATTTAATTGCTTAAATTTGATTCACATTTGAAAACTCCATAAAGTGGTACGAATGTCTTTCTCAAAGTTCCCTGCAAATTAGGGCCTAGAGCCAGTCTAGTACACATAATCTAAATCTTGGTAAAATTTAGAATTTTAAAAAGGTATTCATAAGACAGAAAATCTGAAAATACAAAAATGCCAAGGATTTACCAATTAAATAAAACTATTAAAAAAGAAACTGCAAATCTAGGGAAATGCTGATGGAGTTTGAGAAAGTTAAAGCATCACTCTTGTCAACACAGAAATATTTTCTTCTCAAAAATTTTTCACCAGAAAAATGGGGTGAAAGGAGCTGTTTTTCACATAGTCTACCACAGTTTGAATCAGAGCCCCAGTGGCTTGAAAAATATTCAGGGTGGTTTCTGGTTTCTTTGGTCTCAGGCACAGAAATAAGATGAAGAAGGGAATATCAACATTAGGGAAACTGCAATAAGACACACACATTGTGCCACCTCTCTGTCCTAAGGCCTACCACCTTCAGGAGCCAACCTATGGCAAATGTGGCTACCCTGCCAAGCGCAAGAGAAAATGTAACTGGAGTGGCAAGGCTAAAAGACGAAATACCACTGGGACTGATCGAATAAGGCACCTAAAAATTGTATACTGCAGATTCAGGTGGATTCTCTTGGGTGGAAGAAACACTACCCAAACCCGAAAAGGCCACTGTTACAGCATCCAGTTCATCTTAAGAATTTCAGCAATTAGTCAGGTAATAAATATTCTGGCAAATAAAAAAAAAAAGAGGAAGAAAGAAAAACATATAAGGCATATATATATATGTATGTAGGTGCCCCAGATACCAACAGGATTGAGAAATGGAAGAGAAGAGATGAAGATGTGGTCACACACCATTGGGGGCTACTAACTCTTTCTTTCCACTATCTCTCTGTCTCTCTCTGGAAAGTGCACTCTGGTAATGAAAAAGAAAATACTTGTAATAGTTGAAACATTTATATTAAAGAATTACAACATAAAATTTAACTACATTGTTAAGCATCTCAATTAAATAGTGAAAAGAGATGATCTATTATTTTCTATCTGAATCTAGCCTTTTTATTACCAAAAGGTCCTAATGAAGACAGAAATAAAGTATAAATGCAATTGAAAAACATAAATCTTTTTTATGAGAAAAATGAACCTAAGTCAAAAGGTTACAGCATCTATAGATCTGGTCATACTAAATGCAATAATAGTGAACACACTTTTGGGACCAGAAGTTGGCGTAATGGCTATGTCACTGGACTCCCACATAATCAACCGTGGTTCGAGTCTCGGACTCGGTGGCTTAAACTCACTCTGGGCACATGTGTGTGCATGCCCAAGATCCCGAGAGGAGAATGGAGGAGAAGGGATTGCAGCATGGCCATCCCCCTGGGGGTGGGGCATGAGTTCTCGCTTTCTGTCTCTCTGTCTCTCTCTGTCTTTCTGGCGAGTGCACGTGCCCTTTAGCAAAAACCTCTCAAAAAAAAAAAACAATTTATCTACTATGAGGACTATAGTTTCAAGGTTTAGCCCTCATTTAATTTGAGGGAAGTGGACTTTGTCATGTTTGATAGAATTATCAGTCATCTACTTTAGATTCATCATTATTCTAACGAGTAAAATTTAACCCAGTGTATCAATATGCAAAATCCTGTAATCTTCTTAGCACAAGGTAAGCACTTTGGGTAATTAGCTAGAAGATGCAATACAGCAACCAACAGTCATAAATTAAAAAGCTGTCAATTTGCTGTGGCTAGCTGGGGTTAAGTGAGGACAATTTTAAAGCTCTATTCCATGGAAATAAAATGTCAAAACATCATGTGAGGCACATACTGAATTACCGGTTATGTTAGTACTGCGTGACCCTTCTTATTGCAAAGATATTCCCTAGCTATGTTCCCAGGGAGTGAGAGAGTTGAAAAGAACAACTGAGGGCCACCCAGTGAAGTCTACCTTGAAGGCAGCAGCAAATAAGGCAATTGTTTTATCTTTTCTTCCACGCATAAGTTTTGCTGATCTGTAGAAAGAGCATCCGACTGAATCAAAAGAGTTGTGTTCAAATGCCTCTGAAACTGTCTTTGGGCCTTATTCTCTGCACCTTAATTTCAACATAGGTGAAATGCAGAGAATGATCAATTTACAGCAACTACAGAATTGTTCACATCAAGGGAAATACAGTTGTATGAATGCAATGTAAATGCCTATGGGTGTGTAAGGACCAAAGGAGGCTGGTCAGGGAGCACATTTAGTGTCCCCACCAGCAGATAAGATAAAACTGATTTGGAGAGGTTTTTGCTATAGGGCACGTGTGATTGCCAGAAAGACAGAGAGAAACAAAGAGACAGAAAGTGGTTGACTACATGTGAGTCCAGCGACATAGCCATTACACTAACTGCTGGTCCCAGATTTTTTTAATTTTTTTAAATTATTTTATTGAATTTTATTTATTTATTTTTTTGTTTGTTTAATTTGACCAAAGAGAGACAGGCTGAGAGAGAGAGAGAGAAAGTGAGAAGGCAAGCTGCCAGATCTGAGACTTGAACGTGGTCAGTTATGTGGGAATCCAGCACCCTTAACCACCATGCCAACTGCCGGCCCCGGTCCCAGTTTGTTTTCATTCTTCAGGTAGAGGGCTTTCCTTCTCTGAGAATAGTTGGGTTGTGAGAAGAGAGTAGGGGGGACCAGCAGTTAGTGTAATGGCTATGTTGCTGGACTCTCACGTAGTCGATTGCGGTTCACGTCCCGGACCCGGTGGCTTAAAATCCACGCCGAGCGTGTGTGCATGCATGCTCAATCCTGAGAGGAGAATGAAGGAGAAGGGATT